TCCGATATTTTTCCATATTTCCCTTCGAAATCAAAAAAATATTTATACGACAAGCAGATATCTATATGATATAGTAGTTCAAATATGATATAGTGGCTCAACTAGATATCTGCTTGTCGGAACGAGTGCATGCTGGGGAGTCTTGTTTCCACTGTTAATGCTGAGTCCCTAAGAACAGACAGAAATTACATCATCTTACAGACCTATGATCTTGAATTTGAGGCAGGAAGCCACTCGCAGAGATACTCTCGGCTACTTCGGAGTCACTCATTTTCACAGTGTGAAAAGAAAATATAACTTTCAGTTTATTAAGTTACTCGTAGTAACAAAAATCGCCCTAAACTTAGATTGGGTTCACAATCAATATATTTATAACTGAATTCCCTTATACAATAATACAACTTAACGTGTGCACTGAATAAACTAGAGGCTCCTACAACAAACCCAGTCTTAGTACTTACGTTCTTTATTCAACTTACATAATGAGGGTGTTAGGTTGCTGGGAACTTGAATATCTTACTCTTAGGGATCTCGTATCGGTAGTTAGTAATGGTAATAGGACTGAGTGGAGGCCAATTCGGTCTGTAATCATACGTGTGATAACGAAATCGGACGACCGCACAGCGAGAGTCCGATTTGTTTATCACGCGCGAGTTTGATTACAGACAGAATTTAAACGACACGAAGTCTTATTACCAATTAATAATAAAAATTTAAATTCCCGAGAAAATAAAAAATTCTCCAATTTGAAGAAAGCCCCAATTAAGGAGTCTGCACACTGTTTCTATGATGATTGAAACCACGCTTGTGATTAGTTGATTTAAACTACAAGTTTGAATATGATTCGTTGATTTAAACTACCTATTTGAATGTGATTGGCTTATGGAACTGTCCGATAACAACTTGGCAAGTGAATTAGTGGAAATAGGATTTTTTAAACCAATTACAGTCGAGGAAATCGTAATTTTTATGAGTAAACAAACAAACATTGCGCCGTTTAGGAATAAATTTTAGGAAAAACTTAGCACTGCTTTTTTTTTCACAGGGGTCACTTCTAAAGTGGGACTACATCCAAGCATGATTTCATGTTTTTTTGTTGCAGCAAATTTGTCGAATATTCTCTTTGCGAAAGCCTGGCAATTGGAAAAAACCGGATCATATATTTTACCAAGTTCTTGGTTTTCCAGAAGGAAATGGATTAAGTCACTCATGGTTTTCAGTTGTTGGCAAGAATCAAAACTTATTCCCTTTATAGGTGTTCTTCTATGATCTTTTCTTATATAACATTGCACATTTTCGATATGGTTACTCCTTTGCATTTGAATAAAATGGCTATTTTTCTCGATTGAATACCAACAGTTGTCTGTTTGAAGAACGACAAACTGATGGTTATCTAATAGTTGAATTAACTGATTATCATAAAGAGGGCATTTGTAAACTGCAATACTCCTAATACACTCCTTGGTGAAATTATCATTCAGCATCAAAATTCTTAGATCAGCATCGTTGAATTTTATTTCTCCCATCTCGTCCCAGTCTATCATTAGCTGGCTTTGCCATTGGTTTGCATAGGCCTGGCTTACAGAAATTGTTTGTAAAAAGGAACTCATTGCACTTTGCCACACTAAATTGGTTAGGAAACGTCAAAATCTGAAAGGGAAAAGAAAATGTGAATCTTACATGTTAAGATGATATTATTAACTTTTTTTCAATAAACACTGCACTTTGAACACCAAATCATTTTGAACCTGAGTGTGACGATAATCATCGTTAACATAATGAATAAAGTCTCAAATTTTGAAATCTCTAAGAAACCGTAACTTATACCTGATTGTGTTTAGAACGATTTTAATAGTACCGTTTGTTGATAAGGTTCACTTGGGATCTCTGCTATCTGGAAACAGATGACCAGTTGTGTATATGCTGTAAAACACAAACCAAAACATTTTTGTGGTTTTAAACTATCAGCTCCCAGCATGATATGGTTAGGATCAGTGATATCTCTTTTTTATGTTAAAAGATTTTTTATTTCCCTTACTGTACCCCAACGATTGCATTTTTTTATCGAAGCAAAAATAATTGATTATTTACGATTTTCGTTCTGTTTATCATCCAAATGCGATTGCTTGACCAAATTCGTTTTTGAAAAGGAACATAACCCTGTGCTGATCATAAAGACGCAGAAGAAAAAAAGTTGCGAACGACCTTGGAAGAGCTTGACGTTGAGTGCATGTTGGAACTTATAAATGCGTGTAACGAGTTTTCGTTAACTTTTCTTCTTTCTGATTAGAAAGGAGGAGTGTAGTTCTTTAGTATTATTATGCAGAGTGGTGTAATACACGGCAGAAAAAGTTAACTCACAACAAAAGAAGCTAACAAAGTGGTTAGTAACAGTCTTTGATCTATTTTGCAACTGAAAAACTACAAGCATTAAGAAAACTGTTGTTTCGATTGAAACCGATGGTCTAACCTAACACACAAAGACATTTTCACGGTTTGAATAAACTATTTGTGTACTCCATTTACGCGCTCTGCAGTATACATACCCAGAGCTATCTAACAATTTTTTTTCATGTATATCGTCACTTAGCAATCACATGATTTTACCATGCAATTTGGAATGAATAGGTAGTCGTAACCGCAAATTTCCCTTGTTTTCCAGGCTCCTGCAATTTTGTTATCTTTAAAAAATTGAATCAATATCAGAATCTGGGCAACTGATATTGATCTACTTTGGTTCAATACTGATATTGATCTGATCACGAAATGAACGATCAGCTCAGTTGCCGAATTTATCATGTGCCATCTTCTTAACCCATAATCAAAATCCTTTAAACTATGTCTTCGATTTTCAAAAGCGGTTTTGCTCTCAAATTCTGAAAAAAATTAAATCGGGAAGTGAAATTGATACAGTAGAGATTTATATGATTCAACGAAGAAACATTTTAAACTCGTGAATCGCGCGCATGCGCAAGAGCGAGTTGTAGATATGATGTGGAGAATGGCACTGGCTCGCTCGCTTGCTCGATTCCTGTAAACTTTTTTCCGATTTTAGGCTTTTCAGTGCATTTGATAGTTTTTGGCGAGAAAAAAACAAACGAAATGGATAAGAATAGTGGTGGGGTGAAAAAGAAGCCAATGATAATCTTAAAAGAGTTTTTTTTTTCGTTTCAGTTTCATGCGACTGGCAGGCATGCAAGGATTCACACCGAAATAACAGAACAACCTTCGTTTTTCATAAAATTATAATTTACAATCCTTGAACTTGAAAACAATCCGAAGATTCATTGAAAATATCACTTACCGCGAAGCGCTCGGAGTTTACAGATGTTCAAAAGCTTTTTCTGTTATGGCGTGAGATTGAGGACAAAATCGATCATTACGTTTCGTATCGTGTGTTTTTCCTGTGTGAGGCAACAGAAGACGCCGGCGATTGACGAAATTACAGGTTAACACGAAAATCAAAGAACACTTAAACAAACAATCTTAACTACTGGTTTTCAGTGAATTTTTAAAGAACAATTTTCTTTTAAGTTTCGAGACAGTTTGAAGATTCAAAATACATATTACGTATTATAATAAAGCTCGGATATAACACGTACTGTCATTGGTTGAAAGAGCGCGCTCTATGAGAGTATAGAGCATAGAACTGAGCTAAAGCTGTCACGCCATCTGCCAAATCGTACTATGTCCGACCTTTTCCGGGACTTCTTTCTAGCTTTTCTTTCGTTAATTGAAAGTGAAATTTCGGAACAAGCGAGCAAAGGTTTGCAAAAATGCCAGGCGCAGTAATTTACATTACTGTAACGTGAGCAGTGACAAAAATCCTCAAAGATAAAACAAGATAGACAGTCTGAGTTTTTTTTAACGGTTTTCACGCTCAGTTAGATTGCGAGTTTACGTATGGTAATAAAAATCAAACACAACTAACACTTGTATAATATTATAAAGTTTCGATTTCAAACAGAAAAAAACAGGAATGATGAAAAATATAACCT